ACGTTTAAGCAGGAGCAAAGTGAGGTAGCCAGCGGGGTGACAGTGAGACGGAGGGGTGCCTGGGGCAGGTCCTGGGAAACGGTGCCAAGAGGAAGGAGTAGGTTTCCAGCAGAGGCATGTGGGAAGTGATGGTGGGTTTTCTGCTCAAGGCAGGCAGTCTGGGCTTTGCAGAGTCCTAGGGAGCTGGAGCTGTCTTGTCAGCTTCAAGCTGGGGGTGGGGAGTGGGGTGGGTTCACTCCAGCTACTCCATTAGTACTGGGACTTGTCCCTCTCCCCATCAGACTGTCGTGGATGGCTGCTGGCACCCAGCCAGGCATGGGGAGAGGGGCATCTCTAGACCTTGAGAGCCAGATGTTTGCAGCTGATGCCATGGTAACCTGCCCCAGGTGCCATGGGCCATCTTCCCAGCTCCTAAGTGGGAACTGCCTGGTCTTGGCAGCTAGGCCTGGACTTGCCTGCTTTGAGGCCAGCTCTTGCCTCTTCATCTGCAGCCAGCCGGTTCTGGGTTTGTTAGATTGGTTGGCGTTATCTTGCATCCGTGATATTTGATGTAGTAAATCCAGAAGGGGTCTGATGTGCATGACTTTGGGCACAGCAGGATGGAATATTTGAAATCGGGCCATCTTGGAAAATCCAGGACATCACCCTTCCTGGGGCTGGTGAGGGGCCTGAGGCTGGCTGGCAGATGGAGAAACTTAGTGAAATTCCTCTCAGGAGTCATATTATGGCTTTTACAGAAGATCCTGACTTCCTGTTGCCTTATTTTGGGTGAAATGAGGACCCTGGCCAGTGCTTGGCTGCCCATTGTGGCCTTTTGGAAACATTGCCCAGAGAACTGGTTTCATGGGAAGCTGTAGACCTAACTTTCTGGAGCTTCTCTCTCTCTGCCCTGTACCTGGGTATAGAGTCACGTGGTCTTGGTTCCCTGGACCCCAGCTGATGCCAGCCTGCTGAAGTCTTAACCTGAGCCATGGGGGGGGGTGTGTGTGACGCATTTCTTCTTGCCCTTCTGATGTTTTCTGCTCATAAAAAAACACCACCTCTTGCTTTTAAACACACACACACACACACACACACACACCCTAAAAAACCAGATCATACAAAGCTGGAGAAGCTTTTTTCCCGATTATTTTTCCTTTTCTAGACAGGGACATCAATGTATTTGAATCATGGGCCAACAGTAATTAAAAAGCACATAACTAGTCATTTAAAAATGCAGTTGTTTTACTTAATTGATTTTGCCGCCAGACCCAGAGGAAAAAAAGAGGAACGGGGGAAAGACAGGCTTAGAAGGGGAGACAGGTTTCTGCAAGTGACTGGAGGCAGCTAAGGGCCCTGCTTGAATCTAATTGCTGCCCATGCTGCAGTTGGTTTCTGCTGATGGCTTTCTGCTCAGAGGGCTGGGGGCCAAGGGCCTGATGGGAGGAGTGGCCTTGGTGTCAGCTGCACGGGGGGGGCGGGGGGGGGGGGCGTATAATTCTGCTTTCGGGACAGGGTCTATTTTTCCTTACTATCTATCAGCGTAAAGTACTTCACTGAGCACTTTGAATCAAGGTTCCATTTAGAGATACTTTATTCATATTTAATTACAGGCTGCAGCACCAATCTTTAATTACCTTTTTTATAAGCCAGCTAGGAACATTCACTAGCAATCAATTATTGTGTGTGTGTGTGTATGTGTGTGTGTAAGCACAGGAGGGTGTGGGCATTGTGACTTGCTTCCCGATAGAGGGGAAAGCATGGCTGCAGGGGCCCTGGGGAGGTGGTCGGTGGCCAGGGGTGGGGTGGGGATCTGCCCAACAGGTTCCCTGTGCAGAGTGAGTGGTGCATTTCCCATGCCTCTCTTTGCTTCCACTGGTCAAGCTGGGGAATTGGGGCAAGTCCTCACAGCTGGGCCTCGTTCAGGGTGCTGAGTTGGCACATGGGCTTGGGTGGTATCCTGAGCTCCAGACACCCTGCCTCCTCTGGTGGGGACAGGGAATGGTGGGAGGCCCCCTTCTCAGTCCCTGGGGGTATGGTGGACCAGGCTTCCTCTTACCTGGGAGATTGGGAGATGCTTGCCTCAGCCCTTTCCTTCCTTCCCCTCTCCCCGGAGTGCTCCTGGCAGCTGTTCTCGCCACACAGCCCTGGTGATGCCCTGTCACTCCTCAGTTGCAATGACTCTGGAACATCCCTGCAATGACACGGGTTTGAAGCCTGGCTGCCCTTCTTAGGGAATGAGCCAGTGTTACCAGGGAGCCATGTGGAGGCTTGGGGTGGGGAATGGGGTCAAATGACCCCCAAGCCCTTTTGCAGTGGGCAGATGGGGTCATTCCAGCTGCCTGGGAGGGGAGGTCTGAGTTTGCAGATCTGCTCCAGAAAGCATTCTCCTTGGTGCTCCTTCAGAAACAGCCAGAGGGTTTCTAAAGGCAGTTCTTGTTCATTTCATTATGTAATGGCTGGGAATGTTGCTGAAGTCTACCTCCCTTCTATTCCTGGATCCCTGTCCCAGCAAGAGGGGGGAGGGGAGGGAAAGGAACTGACACTTATTGAGCCTCTTGAGGGTGCCAGGCACCATGCCCATGTTTCTTTTGCCTAACCCAGATGGGACCCGAGAACTACAGTCAGAGCCCCTTCAGTCCTGTGTGACAGAAAACAACTCAAACTGATTTAAGCAAAAAAGGGAAATATGGGGTGGGTATTCAGGCATGGGTAGATCAAGGGGCCCAACCATGGTGACCAAGATTCACTCTCTCTGTCTCTTGGCTCTGCTTTCCTCTTTGTTGCTACTCTGGGACTCCTGGTAGCTCCAGGCTTCAACTTCAATTTTTACCTTCAAGTTCAGCAGAGAGAAAGAATCTTTTCTCCCACAGTTCAAACAAAAGTGAAATAGTTGAGTCTGATTGGATCAGTTGGGTCATGTGTCCATCTCTGAACCAGTCAGCGTGACCCAGGGTATTCAGGGTTCTGATTGGCCAGGCTGGGGTCTCACACCCACGCTGCTGTAACAGGTGGATTTACCCACCTGGGTAAATCCCACACAAGACATGTGCTTTTACATTGGAGGCCTTTAGACTAGAAGGGGTGTGGGAGCAGGAAGGTCCAGCCATTTGAAAAGGAAGAAAGAGTTGATGCGGTTCCTCTCCAAGGGAGAAAATAGTGGATTCAGTCTTTCAACAAATATGTATTTGCTACCAACTAGTTATGGTGCTATTCTTTTTTTTTTTTTCTTTTTAAGATTTTATTTATTTGAGGGAGAGAGAGAGAGAATGAGCAGGGAGAGCAGCAGAGGAAGAGGGAGAAGCAGACTCCCCACTGAGCAGGGAGCCTGATGCGGGGCTGGATCCTAGGACCCCGAGATCATGACCTGAGACTAAGGCAGATGCTTAACTAACTGAGCCACCCACATGCCCCTCTGGTGCTACTCTAAGCACAGGGAATTCAGCAGCTAACAAGACAGACAAAAATCTCTGCCCATTTGAAGCTGATGTTCTAATGGGGTCTACAAGGATGGTGGTTCTTTCATTCTCCCAAGCCAAGCCCAAATCCAGGATAAAGGGAGAGACCCAGGGTGATTGACGTGGGGAGAATCTGGTCCTCAGGCAACCTTGAACCTAGGAGGGAGGGAAAAAGACAAGTATGTGGTTGGGGAAGGAGGGTGGGGGAGGTAGGCACTGGGAGGGGCAAAAATAAAAACCCAGTGAAGAAGGGGGACAGGGAAGCCAATCTGTACCCATCTCCCGTGACAGAGAAGTGTGGGCCCCTCCCATGTTGCCTGGACCTTTGGCCTCCAAAGGATGCTGATAAATGGGATGGAATTTAGTGAAAGCTACAAAATGATGACAGGAGTGGAGGGAGTGATTTATGAGGGAGATTAGCAAGGTGCTGGTGCAGCCTAGCAAACAGAGGGATGGGATGGTGGCCGAGGGTCATCTGACTGCTGAAGTCCAAGGGGAGGAGGGGGCTGAGGGACAGGAGAGAGTGCCTGCTGCAGAAAGGGGGGGCCAGGGGAAGCTGGGGCATGGAATGAATGGGCCTCAGCGTGAGAGCCTGGGGGACGTGAGAAGGAGGGCCATGGGACTAATCCTGCGTGTACACATATACGTGTGTGTGAATGTCTGGATCTTCTAGGATTGGGAAGCTATACAGAGACTTCAAAAAATGGAGGGAGTGAGAATTTCAGCCTTGGACATTTTTGCAAAAGGCTTTTGGGAGTCTCCTTCCCATCTGGTAGAATATTCATGTCTGGACCATGTGGGTGTGATCACTCAAGTCAGAAAGACTTTTTTTCCTTCAGGAAAATTTGGTATGGCATTTCTAAGAGGGAAGGAGGGAAGGAAGAAGGGAAGAGAAGACAGAAGAGTAAGGAGCACATATTCCATTTTGTAGAGAAAGGTCAAGGGATCTGCCCAAGGCCACCTTTGGGTGGCATTGCAGGCGGGGACCAAAGTGAGGCTGGGGTGTGCAGACCTGGGGTCTCTGCCAGGTGGCCAGGCCAAGGGTGGGCTGGGGGACCCATGTTGAGCCTGCTGTTCAGGCAGGAACAAGAGATGGCTATTGGGTTTAGAACCTCCAAACTGGGGTCTTGAGCTCTCCCACGTTCGTGGCTTAGAATATTTGATCCCTGTATTGGGCTGCCTGGGGCCCAGGTTCTGTTAACTCTTGATTTTATGTGCATATGTAACAGCCCCAGGGATGCAATGGTGCATAATTAAATGAGCAGATGGTCCTCAGTTCTGAACATTCTAGACAGCACTTCTTTGGCCTTGAATAGGAGGTGCTCAGGGCACCCATGCATGCCTATGAGGACACACCCTCCACGTGTGTTTTCTCTCTCACTCCCTCCATATGCTTGCTGTGAATCTCCATGGCAGTAAAGAGCCCGGGCAAGGCATTGGGTTGGCGTACAACTGGTAGAGCAAAAAATCTATCGGGGGACCTCAGGCAGCCCTGGCCTGGCCCATCCCCTCTCACTGAACTGAGTCATCTTAATTGCTCCGTTCTCTCTCCACTCTTGACAGATTCAGGATTTGTTTGTGAGCTTTGATGACACCCCTCTGGGGGCCGCCTCCCTGGCCCAGGTCCACAAGGCGGTGCTGCGTGATGGGCGGACGGTGGCCGTGAAGGTCCAGCATCCAAAGGTTCAGGCTCAGAGTTCGAAGGACATTCTTCTGATGGAGGTGAGAGCCTGTCCTTCCTTGGTCCTCATTTTATATTTCTCTGGAAACTAGGTGGCTTTGGTGACACTGGTTCAAAGGAGCTGGGTGGAGTGGGACCCTTTGAACAGCAGGGCGGGAGAGGAAAGCTTGAGACCATGACAAAGGAGGCATCATGACAGTGCTGTGACTGGGGGACCCGTGGCTGGGTTGGTCAGTTCGTCTTTATTTGTTCCTAGGAACTATCTGGGGATGGTCTCAGAACCTGATGAACAGCTGCTGGGGCCAATGAGACCTCAGGTGGATGTTGAAGAAATGAGATGAACCAAAAGTGATTTCCTTGGGGGCAGAAAAGTTACATCTTACTTTGTTAAACGATGACAAAAGGGAGCATGTGGTCAACCACGGGATGTAAACATGACAGGATCACATAGAAATATTTACGCAGATTCCATGTTTGCTTATCTCCTGTTCTGAGTGAACAAGCTTGTCTACCTAAAAATGTTCTGGGAAAAGCCCAGGTGGAGATGGTGTCTCTTGACTTCTTTAGCCCTTCGCTGGAGCGAGGGAGGGTGAGCTGGGCGCTGGCTGGGCGGTGGCCAGCACCCGGCCCAGGAGGGCAGGCTTTTAATGTGCCAGCGTGTCCTGCCCCTTCTCTGCAGGCTGCCTTCCCCTGTTCTCTTTCCCCATTCTAGACTCTTGGTCTGTTTCCTCAGCTCACCCTGAGTAAGCTTTGCACACGCATGGAGGGTCTCTTTTGCACCAGGCACTAGGTGGGTGCTGGGGACACAGGAGTGAGGGAGCTCCATCTTCTTCCCCGGGGGTGTTACCCTGTTTAGTGGAAGGGCAGGTCTGGACACGAACAGCCACAGTGTGGGGATGTGAGCTGTGCCAAAGGGGGTTTGCATGGTGCCCTCAGCCCTGCGTCTGGTCTGTTGGGGGCGGGGCTTCACGGAGGGGCCGGGGAGACAGTGGGGCAGGGGAAGGATAGCTGAGCCTGTGCGAAGACCCAGTCTTAGAGCAACAGGATGGGCTTGGAGAAGAACTTGAGCTGGTTCAGGTGGTACGGCTGGGAGTGGTTGCAGATGGGGCTGGGAAGGTAGACAGGACAACATGGAGGGCCTGATCATCCAGGCTAAGGCACAGAACAGTATACACAGCAAATATAGATCTTCTATGGAACTGAGCAGATCTGATTCTCTCCTGTAGTCGGTGGGGAACCATTTAAAAATTTTAAATCAGGGGAATGTCGAGGTCAGATGTACATTAGAAACAAAAGTCTATCGGCAGTCTGGAGGATGTATTGGAAGGCAGAAAGACTGTAGCCAGGGAGACTAATGGAGGGGCTGCTGCACTGGTCTGAGCCAAAAATAATGATGTGACCCAGGGCAGTGTAGTGGGAGTTGAAGAGGAGGGATGGGCTCGAGGGGCGGAGTCATCAGGACTTTGTGAGCAGCTTTCCATGGGGTGGAGGCAAATACTGGTAGGAATGAATGGGAGGAGAATAAAACAAAATGTAGGTTTCCAGCTTAAATGATTAAGTTGGGTGCCTTTAACCAGTGTATCAATCAGGGTCCAGTTGGGAAGAAACAAAATTGCGCTAGGTATTTCCAACAGAGGGAATTTAAAAGAGAAAATGGGGCTCCCAGGGGATGAAATTGCAGAGAGGCCAAATGGGACGGCGAGACAGTTACCAAGGGCTGGAAGCCACTGCCACCCTCAGGTGGAGGGACGAGGAGAAGAGGTGGTTCTCCGGAGCCTGGGAGCTGGGGTCACCTGGTAGAGCTCTGGCCCAGGGCGGGCTAGTCCTTTGGGAGGTGGATCACACAGCTTCAGGGCCAATCACCTGGGAGGTGGAGCCACGGATGCTGTTTGAGGCGGCAGGTTTCCACCTCCTTCTCTCCCCCAGTGTTCCACCAGTGTTGCCCATGGGCCAAGCCTAGATGGAAAATGCAGTTCCTTATGAGAGCAATGGGGTCAGGATGATCTCCGAGCTGGGTGCAATGGGTGGTGGAACCACCAGGAGAACTCAGATCCTGCTGTCAGGAGATTTGGATTGGGATTGCTCTGCTGGTCTGCATTCGGGTTGCAACTACAGATGCGGGATTTAGCAGCAAGGGGCCTCATGGTAGGTAGGTGAATCTGGGGGAGTAGTTAAGGTCACTTGGAAGGGTGGAGCAAAGAGAAGAGGAGAGGACAAGGGGAGAGGTGGGAGGAATACCGTCATTGAGGGAGTACGCCCAGGAAGTTAAGCTCCTGGAGGAAAGGAGAAGGCATGGCCAGAGAGATTGGAGGAGAAGCAGAACTGAGCAGTGCTGCTGTATTCCGTGGAAATAATTTCAAGAAGAGAGCTAGAGAAGAGAGCAGCTTAAAACAGCGGGTGTGTGTTTTGCTTATGAATCTGCAATCTGGGCAGGGCTTGGTGGAGAGACTCACGAGTTCCGTGTGGTGCCGGCTGGGTGGTCTCACAGAACCAGAAGATCCACTTCTAGGTGGCTCACTCACATGGCTGGCAGCCCAGCTGGGGCTGGGGGCAGGGCCTTGGGTCCTTCCAGGTAGGCCTCTCCACAGCTGTTGAGCCTTCCTCACAGCATGGTGGCTGGGTTCCAAGAGTGAGTGTCCCACGAGAATCAGGCGGAAAGCACATGACCGTTGTATGACCTAGCCTTGGCAGGCACATAGCACTACTTCTTCCTTACTCTGCTGGTAAGAACAAGAGTCACGAAGCTCCCTTAGTTTAAAGGGTGGGGTATACTCTACTTCTTGATGGGGGCATGACCAGGTTCTAGAAGAGCATCAGAATGGGAGGTATTGTTGCAGCCATTTGGGAAAAGACAGTCTGCCAGAATTACTCAGTGTTGTCAAATGGGAGATGAAATTAGGAAAGCTCTGGAAAAGGCCTCTGGATTTGGTGATTGAGAGTCCTTGCAGTGAGCAAGGAGAACGGGGTGAGGGGCTGGGGGTAAACTGAGGCCCCAGGGAGTGGAGATGGTTGTCACTCAGGTGACAGTGGGGAGGGTCCTATGGTACTTAGAACAAAGCACAGGATTAGAGGCGGGGACTGGAGCAGGCTGTCGCTAATGGGGAGGGTGTCCATGGAGTGGGGGGGCTGGAGATCCAGGAGAGAGAAGCAACTGACAGGTGTGGTCCTGGGGGAGACTCCAGGGATCGGGCTGTAAGGACCCGGGTGGAAGCGTTAGCCTCGGTCAGCCTTTGTTTGGAGCCCGGAGGAAGGTGGTGAGGCTGCGCGCAGATGAGGGGGTAGAGGGGGATGGCGGAGGGAAAGTGGGCAGCTGAGTTGTACCAGCCTGATAGCCCTATTTTTTTCACTGCAGTAGGAGGCAAGACCATCTGCTGAGAATGAGGGGGTAGGAGGTGGCGTTGGAGGCCGGGGATGGGGGTGAAGGTTTGGAATAGCTGCTCTGTGGGACAGAAGGGGAGCTGACCAGGGCCCCGGAGCAGGGTTCCTGAGTGGCGCTGGGCTTCCATCTGGAAACCCGGGTTTTCTGGAGCACCTGTCAGTGGCTACGCAACAGCCATGGTTGGGAGTGAACTAGGAGTCTCGGAGCATCCCTGGGTGTCCTGAGACCCAGCAGCCACTCCTGTGTCAGGCAGGAACCTGCCTCCCCCCAGTGGTGCCATCGGGACCCACTTGGGCTGGAAGGACAGCTGACACCATTTCTCTACGCAGAGCCTTGCTGACTCCCTAAGTGATGGCTGCCGGCAGGTCAATAGCAATAATAGCGCTAATAAACATTTGGCATCTTCCTCCTGGAGCTAAGCATCAGATGCTTTCCTTGGAAGTACGGCCTGGCAGCTGAGTGCGGAGTACAGAGTGGCTCGTGAACAGTGGCTGAGGCCGAGGTCACCACCTCCGTGCACCGTCAGCCTTAACAGCATCACCGATGGTGCTGCCTTGTCGCTGGGCTTGGTCTCCGGTGGAAAACATCCTCCCTGGCTCAGCCTTCTCTGTAAACCAAGATAGAGCCTAACTGGAAAGCTCATTTCGTTTGGTATTTGAAATGAGTCTTATAATTTTTTCCCTGAGTCCTGACCTAGAATAGTACCTTGGGTTTAGGAATGAAAACCCCAGGGAGGTTCTTGTGTGTGTTAGCAGGAGAAGAGTGATTTCAAGGGGGCATTAGGGCCACCTTCGCCGCCAGCAGCTTGGAGACAGGGTGAGGAAAAGCGTAGCTTTCTGGTGCTTCCTTTTATGACATCTCCAGGTACTTTGCATCCTCATGCCTCTCTCCCACTGCCCGCTGTTGTCCCTCTTTCTTCTCCAACTCTGTGATGCCCCCCAGCATCGTCTTGAGAGGAAGATAATCTGACTAGAGTAATTCATACTAAGGAGAGAGTGACTAATAGGCGTAACCTTTGAATATTTGCAGTTGAAGAGGTGAGCTGCTAAAACCAAATACATATCTGCTGTAAAGACAGGTCTGGGGGTGAGGCTTTTGAGAGTGAGGAGGTGGGGGACTGCTACTGGTTGTATCAGTTAAGATGCTTTAGGCTGCAGGTACCAGAAAAATCCAACTAAAAGTGGTGTAAATAATAGTAACCTATATTATGTCACATTTTAAGACCCCTAGAAGTAGTGTTGACTGTTCCAAGGTTGACTGATCCAGCACTTCACTGTGGTTTCTAAGGACCCAGGTTCCTTTTGTCTTCTACTCTGGCTTGCCCTTCTGGGTAGTGCTCCTCATGGTCCCAAAACAGCTGCAGCAGTTCCTGCTGTGACAAGTAGATGACATCCAGTGCCAAAGAGGGCCTGTTTCTTCCCTCATATTCCTTATCAAAAAGGAGCCCCTCAATAGCATTTCCTTCATTTCTCATTGGCGAAAAGTAGGCCACATGCCCAAGTCTAAATCAGTCTCGGCAAGAGACGTAAGACCGATCATGATTCACCTTCTCAGGCTAAGGCCTGCCTTCCTCGAAGGACACGAAAGATGCACAGAATTGGGGTTCTGTTAGCCAGGAAGGTGAGGGAAATGGCTTTTGGGTTGGCACCTACTAGCACATGC